CAAAGAGTACCTCTAGAAGACCAGCCTGTGAGCACTGCTAAATATTTGCATTGTTTGTATTTCCTGGGTTTTGTCAACTTTTGTTCATGATTTGAGATCAGTGCATTCCTTCCGTGGGGGCAGGTTTGATTTGGGATAGATTCTTCTAATGTTCCCAAAAGGAACCAGAGTCCTGATTTGACACCCCATTTTCCCTTGGGTGAAAGTCATATTACAGGGTTTTTCCCCCCTCATTGACAGATTAGTGTGCCCTACATGGTGCCAGGAGATAGTAGAGCAAGGCTTGTAGACCCAGATACCTGCAGGTCCTACAATAGAAAAGGGTAAGGTTTTCATGGTCAGTAGATGACTTTGGCTGTTGACTGCTGCAGCCGATCTTAATGTTTCTTGCTGTGGACCTCCAGGTCTGTGGAGATGGGTTTGGTCTTGTTCAGTCGCAGTTGGGTTCAGGTGGCCCACTTGTGGCTGTAGTGGTGGAAGAAGTAGGGAGTGATTTCAGGTGAGGATCTCTTATGGATGATACACTCATGATTCGTTTGCCCGACTGACTTCTGTGACGGTCTCCAGGCACCCCAAGACGTTAGCATGCACTGTTGATTTCTTTGCTCGTTCTTACTTTAGAAATATACTTACTTCTAATGGTTTCTTAGGATTGTTCACATAGCGTGTTCGGGAAATGCTGTTTAATGAATGGCCATTTGTCTTCATGCTGTTTGATTTTTATTGTGCAACTTGGAATGTTTGTCATTTCCATATCTTCCTTTTTCCTGTTCTGGTCCACACACACACACACACACACACACACACACACACACACACACACACACACAGAGTAGCCGTCAATATATAATAATGGTGGAGAGAGTCTTGGCTATAAACTTCCACACGCTGACGTTCTGTAAGTTGAGATCCAGTTTTCTTTCACAAGGCAGAGTGCAGCAGCCTTTGTGAGATTCCTGGCTCTTTATTTTTGGTTTTAGGATTGGGAGAGGTAGTTAAAAAATGAGTTATGTAGGTCTGAAGACCTAATCATATTTTTGCATAATTCTTGAGCAAATACAGACATGTTCTTAGATGTTGGGTCACTAGAGAAAAAGAGAAGTTCCCAGGAGCTGTCTTGTTTCAGGTCAGGGCTGGAAACGCCTTCATTTTCTTCTACCAAGCTTGGCAGATTTCACCATCTTGCTGCCCCAGTCCTGAATGTGCAGAGTTAACTTGGTTAGACGGGAGATTCCCCACATCCTCTTCCACCGTGAACTTCAGGTTGAAGTGAGTTGGTTTCTCTCTTTCTCTGTTTTTCTTTTCCTTCCTTCCTTTCTTTTTTTAAAAAGGTAATTAGATTCTCTTTATTGGGAAGAACATGCTTCCTCCTCAAGCGAGTCACTAGTTTTTGCTCTCTTGCTGATATTTGAATCACTAAGGATTTTCCTTCAGACGTGTTTGCATTTCTCATGGAGAGGTGCTAAGGTGTCAGCTTAACTATGCAACTGGTTGTATCTTGCAGGGTTTCTGTGTGCAAATGTTTCATTCACTCTGAGTTTCCAAGAAGCAAATGACTTTTGGCTGTTCTGGCATGGCAGGTTTTTTTCTTTCTAACCACCATTGGGTTGAAGCTGGAAACTGAACACAGCTTGAAATCTTGTGGTTTGGATGCTGGAATTCAGGGCTAAACTGTCTACAGCTAAAATTATTAATGTTGAGATATTTTCCCCCAATAAGTAAACCTGAAAAATAATGAAATCTAACTCCTGGCAGTCCATAAAATTGTATATGGGTGTGTACACACACACACACACACACACACACACACACACACACACACACACACACAGCTAGCAAGAAGAAAAATATACTAAGAATATATTAGAAATAGTTACTATAGTTTAATTCAAACTTGAAAAAGCCAAAACAAACCCAGATATGATATTGTGTTTTCCCAGACTGTATGAAGGCAGTTAGTGAGAGAAAATGACACTTAACTTTTCAGCTTTCTAGGTAGATAGTTTAGAAGAGGGAATAGTAAAATTAATACTGTACACTTTCATGGTACCTGATACTTTACTGAATAATTTCATATATGTCATCTAAATTACATTCCGCAAAAATCACCAAGCATTTAGCAGTTTTAATCTCATTAAATCAGAGAATATATCCAAGACCTGGCTATAGACAACACTCGTAGGAAGACATCCAATCCTCCATTTTTCCATCCATTCACACTCTAACATGCACACATTTCTTTGGTTTTAAGATTCATGTGTAACTTTTACCAACTGGAGTTTCTCTTGTGACATATAATGAACTAGTTGATCTGTGTTGCCTTTGGTAATGGTAAAGACCTGTGAAGTTTCAGTGATCAAAACGGATGGTTCAGTTTTGATCAATCAAAGGGAGAACACTATACATTTAAAGTATATTCAAAAAATATTTATGACTAGGTGTGGCACATGATTTTAATGCCAGCACTTAGGAGACAGAGGGAGTTGGGTTTTTGTGAGTTCAAGGTCAGCCTGGTCTACATAGTGAGTTCTAGGCTAGCCAGACATTGCTTTAAAATAAAAACATAAAAGACTTTAAAGGGGGCCTATTGAGATGGTTGAGAGAGTAAGGTGCTTGCCACGCAAGCCAAAACTTGAGTTCAATCCCCAAATCTGGTGGAAGGAGAGAACCTACTGGCTAAGTTTCCTGTTTGACCTTCACATGTGGGCTGTGCACAATATGAAATAATAATAATTATAATAATAACAACAATAATACATGTGGGCTGTGTACAATATGCAAGAGTAATAATAATGATGATGACAATACTAATAATGGTAGAAATAATAAAGATTGTAAAGTATAAATGTTTTTCTAGTATGGTCTAGATTATCTGATTGGCTAAATTCTGTTTCAGAAAATGAAATCCGTTAAGAAATACTTTCTTGAGCATATGTCCTTGAGATAAAAATGTTGACCTGGAAGGTATATCCTCAAAAGTGAAAGACTTCCTGCACATAGATGGTCTTTGTTTTGTTTTTGCAGCACTGGACGTGCTTAGACAAGCACTTTACTGCCGAGCTACATCTACTGCCTTCCTTTTACACTGCTCATTTTGAGATATAACGTTGCCTAGGCTGGCCTTGAACTCACTCTGTAGTTCAGATATGCCTTGATTCTTTCTGTCTCAGCTTCCCAAGTAGCTAGGATTGTAAGCCCTTACCACCAGACCTGCTGAGACTTCTTGATTAGAAAATAATGTGTGAGGGCACTTCCTGGGAGTAGTAATATTTAATTTGATAGGAATTTAGATTGCATATATTGGGCTGGAGTTATATTCAAGCATTAGAATACTTGATTAGCACACATTGCCCCTAAGTTCAATCCCTAGTACCATAAGCAAATAATTCATAGATAGCATATGTGTATGTTTGTTAGTAGTCATCAAGTATTTGCAGTTTTTATTATGAGAAATTCAAAAGGAAAAACACAATACATATTAAACTCTAGAGAATATGTATGCAGAATTGTTGGGAGAAAGCATGTTGATGTCTTTGGCTTACTTTGAAATATAAAAGAAAGCAATCCAAAATGTCTTAATAAATAGGTGGAAAGATGGACAGATTAATATGACATAAGATAGCATAGTAAATACAATAAAATGGTAATTGTTGAGTGCAGCGGGTGGGTGTATGGATTCACATGCAACTTTTACGGACTAGAGTTTCTCTTGTTGTGACATGTAAAACAATGCATTTTAACATTTATTCTTAGGCAACTGACAGCACAGAAGTTAATTTTAGATGGGCAAAAGAGTATTTCAAATGATGCCAGTTTTGCTAGATTTTATAAAAATCTGTTTGAGTTTATTACTATACCATTTACCATAACAAAATATTGGAGGTTGGATCGTTGTATATAGTAAAGAGATTTATTTGGCTCATGATATAGTTGCTAGAAGATCCAAACAACATGGCAATGTCCTGTTGGTAAAACTCACCTGGCTGTGTCACAATCTGGCAGAGAAGCAAGGAGGAAAATACTGTGTGCAGAACGGGCCTGTGAACTAACACATTCCATGAGAGGCACAATAACCCTCCCGCTCTCCTGTCTGACCCAATTATCTTCCATCAGCCTTCCCGTTAAAGTTTCCACCTCCTCAAACTGAGGACAAAGTTCTAAGGGCGCGAGCCTTTGGGAGAACACTCGGGTTGTGAAACATAGAATCTCTGTGGTACTGTCAGGAGATGAGGACTGATGGTGAAAATCCACTGAAGCACAATTCATAGCAAAGACTGTGAAAGAGCTGTTGAGCAGACAGAAGGAAGAACTTATATACATACACACACACACACACACACACACACACACACACACACACACACACACATATGATAAGCAGCTGGAAGTGGTGGCACATTCGTTTAATCTCAGCACTCAGGTGGAGGCAGACAGATTTCTGTGAGTTCTAGGCCAGCCTGGACTACATAGCAAGTTCTGAGCTAGCCAGAGCTATGTAGTGAGACCCTCTTTCAAAATTTAAATAAAGATAAAAAAATAAAAAGAGAGAAAGGACAGAGAAGCTATGTGCTATGTCATATCTGCCGACTCTGAATGACAAGTACCTGTGCCATCTGCTGCCTAGAAGATTAAAAGACCCCACCAATAAATGAGTCTTCAGTAGTATTTTCAGTGTTATTTATCAATACCAGTGTATACAGTGAGTGAGTGCATCTTCTACCCTTTCTTCATTGTAGCTTCACATCTGGTAACGAAGTATAGAAGGTGATTAATTGAGCATTTTCACATTGCCCCCAAAGATATATATCCCAAGGATACACCAATAAGGCAGAAGTTAGTTTGTTACATACAGTGAGTGTCTTAGGGAAGTAGGACTTAATTCTCTCCTGGAACCCAGGTTCATTGGATTTTTTTTTTTCAACAAATCCTAAAATAATTTTCTTTGGCTAGCTTATAGTGTTTATACAAATTTTATAGATAACATGCACTTTGTTTTTTAGATTACAGGTCCACCAGGTTGTGGAAAAACTCAGTTTTGTATCATGATGAGTGTTTTAGCTACATTACCCACCAACATGGGAGGATTAGAAGGGGCTGTTGTGTACATTGACACCGAGTCTGCGTTTACTGCTGAAAGGTAGGTTGTTGTATTTTCCATTATAATACTTTGCTTTTCTAGCTCCTACGCACCATGGGGCATTTATAAATAGGTCAGCATTTAATTTTTAAGAACAAAGGGTGCTAGATACTGTTTTTAAGGGGTTTTTTCTTTTGAAATTGATACAGGAAGCAGATCGTTTTCTTCCTTTTCTATCCCCTTCTTATTGGTTTCATTGGGGTTCCTGTGTAAGCTCTGTTTTGTAGAAGGTTGAGAAGAAACAAGATGAAGATGGAGTGTGGGGGTGGGGGGATGTTAAGTAGAAAATGGGGAAGAGGGAAGACTAAAGAGGAAAGGGTAAGCTGCTTTACACGTTATTTCTAGAAGGAAGTAAAGTCTTGGTCAATGGACATTCATCAAATAGGAGATTATGCATACGAAGATCAATTCTTATCTCAGTCAAGATACACTGTAGGTATTGTTTTTGGGCTCTTTGTCATTACATCATTATGAACAATTCTCTTCTTTATTTCTCCCTGAATATTAGTAGATCAAAATGGATCTGATGAGGTATGATATTTAACATGGATCTTCAACCTAGCAGGATCTGGAATTACCTAGGAGACAAGCTTCCATGTATGCCCGTGGGGGATTATCTAGGTTAGGTTAGCCTCTCTGGTCAGGCTTGAGAAGGATTATCTTGATTAGGTTAATTGAGGTGGGAAGATTCACCTTAAAGTAGTGTGGCACCACTGAGTCCTGGACTGAATAAAAAAGGAGAAAGCTACCTGTGAGTGAGTGTTTATCATTCTGGGCTTCCTGACTGTAGTCAGACTTTCTTCTTGGGACCATCAGCCCCCAAATAATGACATGGAGACTTATTATTAATTATGAAAGCTTGGCCTTAGCTTAGGTTTGTTTCCAACTAGCTCTTATAACTTAAAATAACCTTTTTTTTAAGTTAATCTATAGTCTACCACATGTCTTTTTACCCCTCTCCCATTCTGTATGTCTGACTTTCTCAGTGTCTCACTGGTGTCTCCTGCTGTGCCAGAATTTAACCCGAGTTTCTCTCTCTCCCCAAAAGTCCCATATTTAGCTCTTTATTAAACCAATCACAGTGACACATCTTCACACTGTGTAAATAAATATCCCATAACATTTCCCCCTTTTTGTCTAAATAAAAAAGGAAAGGTTTTTAACTCTAACACATTAAAATTATATAAAATAAGAACAATTATTATAACTTGTATTACCAACCTAAACATATCTTTTTAAACCTTAAAACATTTTTTTAGATAAAAAACTTAAACTTTTTTGTCTACCAATCTTTATAAATTTTACATCTCTTTTTGGAAGTTTCTTTTCTGAATTTGGTAACAAAGAAAATGGTATAACTATCTCTGGTGATATTTTATTTGTGCTGAAATGTGGTGATATTTTATTTGTGCTTTAATAAATAAAGCTTGCCTGGAGATCAGAGAAATAGGAACAGCCATTATAAGTAAACATAGTAGTCAGGCAATGGTAGCACATGCCTTTAATCCTATCACTTGGCAGGCAGGAATCTGCCTGGATCTCTGTTAGCTCAAAGCCACACACTGGAAACAGAGCCAGGTGTGGTAGCACATGCCTTAAATTCCAACACTAGTTAACCATGGAGGTCTGGAGGTCTGTACAGACAGACAGAACGTGACAGAGCTGGGCAGGAAGAAGAGGTGATGTAGCTGGACAGAGAGAGCAAACCAGATGGCAGAACAGAAAGGCATATAGGCGTGGGTAGACAGGAAGTAACTCGCATTTGGAAGCTGCGGAGTTGGTGAGGTAAGGTTAACTGTGGCTTTCCCTATTCCCCTGATCTCTCTAAGGCTTTTACCCCTATATCTGGCTCTGTGTTTTTTATTTAATAAGACCATTTAGAAATTCATCTATAACCATCTAGTTTTCAACCCCATCAGAGACCTAAGAAGGATAAAATATTACCTGAGTAAACAGGAAGTGCAGATCAAACAACTTCCAAAACTATAGAAATGGTAGAGACATCTGGCTGCCACTGGACAGTCACCCAAGGTTCCTCTGCAATGTTGGGGCATTCATCTTTGGCCTACCGGCCTAGAATATCCATCAGACTTTTGTGTGAAACAGGAATTTTGAAGGACTGTCCTACCTTGTCTTGGCAAAGTTTGGCAGTCGCCTTCTTTTGTGTCCTGCCTGTCCAATTTGGACAGCATACTGTCAGCCCATCCAGGCAAGGGCAGTTTTTTGCCCAGTGGCTAATTTTGGCACATATGAAAGCAAACTCTATATGGAGGTTCTTTGATGCTCATCATTTATTATTATTATTATTATTATTATTATTATTATTATTATTATTATTATTATTTTGAATTAGATTGGCGCTGCCAGGAGCAGACCTATTTCACTGTCATGAAAAGCCTTATGTTATTAAAATATCTTAAATGCCATATTCTGTAAATCTCTGAAGTGTTTGAAGACCACCTATCTATCTAAAATATAGTTATTTAATCTTGAAAGCATACCTAACATGACTACAAGTTTGATTGTTATAGATGACTAACTACTAACCTACATTTCTTAATTATTCTAAAGAGTTTATAATAATAGCTTTTAAGGACTAGAACATTACATTACATTTTAAAATAAGCTGCATAGGTACAATACCTTAAACAAGAGTAGAAACATATATATAGTATGTTAAAACAAAAATAATCTTAAATTTGTATCAATGAACAAAAACAAGAGTACTTAAACAATGTACTTAAATAAGAGTAGAAACATGTATATAGTGTCCTCTAACAAAAATAACCTTAAATTTGTGTCAGTATACAAAAATCCATACCAATGTAAAATATTGAAGACTAGTAGTTGCTTTTTAGTTTAAAAGTAGATTCAGTAATCTACCCTTTTATCCTGTCATTCCTTTATCCCCCCTTTTTATCTTTTCAGAAAGAAATCCCTAAATTTAATATCCTTTGCTTAGTTTTTTTTTTCCCCTGACCATAACCAGTAACAATTTGCAAGTAACCCCACCTAAACAATGACAAATATCCATAACACTGAATGACAGAAAAACCACCCACCCCACCTCTTGGGAATGTGAGCATCATGTTCTTAAAATTACTTCCTGTTGACTGGAGATGACAGCATCTTTAGGGAATCCTGAGAGCATTGAGATATTTGTCAAGTACTGAGAAAACTACCTGTAACATTTATTGTCCAGTTTCTGTGTGATGGGAAAGTGCAGGGCTTATCTGAAATCCTGTCTGGAATAGTCTGTGAGGCTGGATCATCTTAGCTAGCCACTTTGAAGTTGCTCTGAATGCAGATTTTTGAGGAAACTGCAACAGAGGCACTCTGAGAGGCTGGATCACCTGGGCTACTTTTCTTCATTGTTATCTGGTCCTTTTTTTCTGAAAACACACAAACTTGTAAAGGTAACATACATATCTGCATTAACACAAGTATGGAATGTGTGATATGTACAAATCAGCTAAAGATGATTCTATGCTCTATGTTTGAGTAGGTAAAAGACATCTGTCAACTTTATAAGTCTGTTTGGACTGCATAACCAAACTGTAATATAAATCTCCATCCATGCCATATGAAAGGATGGCATGTAATAATAAGTCATGAGGATTCTGTAGCCAACAAGATTTATCATATCTCTTTCAGTCTCAGAGCTGCTCCCATGTAGAGGGATGAGTATACACATCACTTGTCCTGTAATCTTTCCTGGCTTCTCCCTCGTATCTGTAGCCAAGATCCTCAGGAGTCCCCTCCCCCATCAAACCTGATCCCTATTAATTTTAAAGGAATCCATAGCTTTTTGTTTCCTGTGGAAACAAAGGCATAACCTCTCCCCCATCACAACACATTTCCTGACTTCTGTTCTGAAGTTAAGACATCCACAAAATATATAGGCTGGCTTAGTTCAGCAGTCCCTTCCACAATCCAATGTCTCTCAGTAGCTGTTCTCTGTTCATTAGCATTCAAAAAATTTAAAATTAACAAAGTACCATATAAGGTCCAAACTTCCTGTGTTATAATATTTCCCATCCTTATGTGGCTTATTCTTTTTATATTACTTCCCTCTCTCTTTAAAAACTTCATTATTTTTAAAACAATTTTTTTCTATGACTGTCCATACCCAGTTTTTACTGTACCTGTTCAGAAGTTTTCTGGGTCTGAGCCTGGCTTTGCTGGGCACATGCAGTGTTCTCTGACCATGTGAGCCAAGCCTTAAAGGGCCAGACAATCTGCCACATGGTTCTGCTTAGCACATGGCTCTGGCAGCTGGCTCCATCCCCCATGGGTTGGTGAGAGCTGAGCCTCAAGCCTGTAGGCAGTGGCTGGGAGCCACACCTCTGTATGCCATCAGCACTAGCCAGCCTGAGAGACTATGGGACTAGTACGTTGCTCTAGTTCCAGTTTGTGTGTTTGGAACTCTTTTTTAAAAGCTTTCTCAGGTCCTGTGTGGATATTCATGCCTCCACTTTGGACACCCTATGTAGTCAGACTTTTTCACTGGACCACCAACTCCCAAATAATGATGTGGAGAATTATTATTAATTATGAAAGCTTGATCTTAGCTTAGGCTTGTTCTCAGCTAGCTCTTATAACTTAAATTAACCCATTTTTTAAAAAAATTAATTTATATTCTACCACATGTCTTTTTATCTTTCTCTCATTCTATACATCTGACTTTTTCAGTGTCTCACTGCTGCACGAGATTCTGAGTTTCTCTCTCCCCGGAAGTCCTGCCTAGTCTCTCCTGCCTAGCTATTGGCCATTCATCTCTTTACTAAACCAATCACAGTGACACATCTTCACACAGTGTAAACAAATATCCCGAAACACCTGGCTGTGGGTGGGATGGGACCAGCTGCCAGGACTTCCTTGCCATGCTCTGAACTGTGCCCAAACGGACCTTTCTCCTTGAGTGGCTTTTGCCAGGTGTCCTGTCAACAGGAAAGGTAACTGACACACAAGGGAATTTCAGAGCGTACATTTCTTTAGCC